TTGTAAGGTTTAAGTAAATAATTTCCAATATTGATCAAACTGAAAAAACAAGTTTTGAAATTACAAAATGTTACCGTTTCCAAATTTAATTCTATTAAGTATTTATCCTTATTAATCAAACTAGAAAACATGTTATGAAACTACAAAATGATTCATTTCAGCACCCAAACAAATGAAATTGTGAAATTTTATAATTTTCACCGCCTATAACTAAAATTCGAAAAAAATTTGTTCTGAACTTGAAAATTTTCTCTATTAAAACAAGAAAATAGAAGTATGTAACAGAGAAAAAGTAGAAAAATTGATAGATCGAAAAAGAGAAACAGATATAGAGAGAAGATTGTATTCCGACAGCTATTTTTGATTTAGATCTTGTCAGATCTAATGTAAATCAACTCAAATCTAATGTAGATCTTTGAGTGTTTGTCGGAAACTTGTCTCCTTAGTTGTTAGTGAGGGTGAAATAAGGAGTTAATAGTCGATGGTTATCGGTAAATTCCAATCAATGGTGGTTTTCGATAGCCAATGACTATATATCCGAAAAAGAAAAAGAAGAAATAATGTGTGTTTGGTAACGTTTACGTTTTCAGTTTATATTTACAAAAGTTTTATAAACTGATTTTTGTTTAGTTTTTGTTTATTTTTAGAAAAACATAAACTACAATCGCATTTGGTAATTAACAAAATGTTTAAAAAAATTTAAAAATATAAAAAAAAAGTAAGAAATGGCAAGTGGTGGCAAGTGGCCGCGGAAGACGGTGGTGGAAAGTGGTGACAGTGGGTGGTGGGTAGTTGGTGGTGGTGGTGGATGGGTGGGTGACGGTGGCGGGTGGTAGCGAGTGGGTGGTAGTGGTGGTGGTGGTGGTGGCAGGTTGGTGGCGGATGGTGGGTGGTGGCGGGTGGATGGTGGTGGCAGGTGAGTGGTAAGTGGTGGTGGCAAGTAGGGGGCGGGGGGGGGTGGCGGGCGGGGGATGGTAGTGGCGGGTGGTGGGTGGATGGCAGGTGGGTGGTGGTGGTGGCAGCGGCGGCGAGGGGTGGGTGGTGGTGGTGAGTGGGTAGTGGTGGCTGGTGCGTGGCAGGTGGGTGGTGGTGGCAGGTGGGTGGTGAGTAGTGGTGGCAGGTGGTGGTGGTGGGGGTGCAGGTGGGTACATGGTGATGGTGGCTGATGGTTGGTGGGTGCTGTGGTGGCAAGTGGTGGATGGTTGTGGCGTGGGGTGGTAAGTGGTGGTGGCAAGTAGGTGCCGGGTGTGGTGCAGGTGGTGGATGGTAGTGGCGGGTAGTGGGTGGTGGCGGGTGGATTGGCAGGTGGTGTGGTGCGGTTGGTGGTGGTGTGGCGGGCAGCGAGGGGTGGTGGTGGTAGGCCGAGTGGTGGCGAGTGGCTGGTGGCTGTTGGCGGTGGTCGGCAGGTGGTCGGTTGGGAGTGGGGCGGGTTGTGGCGGAGACGGTGGTGAAAATGGGGCGGGAGGTGGTTAGTGTTGGGTGGTAAAAAAAAGAACCTAAAACTCAAATCGGAAATAATTTTTTATGTTTTCCGACTTTTTTGGCCAATTTATAAAACTGAGACCATCTGATTTATTAATCAACAAATTTTAGTCCAACAGAATATTTTATTTATTTGTTGTAACAAATTTTGGTGAGAATATAAGATAAAAAACTGAAAAATGTAAGTGTTGACTAACGGCAGCCTTGGCCACCTGAAATGAAAATAAAATAAAATACAAAAAAAAAAAAAGAAAATACTAATGAATCTTAAAACATATCCTAAAATATGGTAAAGACTAAAACAAATTTTCTCCACTTTTCAAATAAAACTTCCGGAAATTTGCCTTAAATAAATGAAGGTGAGAAAATTCGCTGAAGAACGATTAATCAAAACTTTGAGGAGATGGAATAGAAGAAAGCGGACGAATGAAGCCCCTATGTCTCAGAAGAAGATGTTGAGGAAGAAGTGGGAGTTGATGAAATTGGGATATCGAAATCGACATTCGTTGGATCAAGGAGAGAGATTCGAGATTTTTGGAGGTCGTGGAGAGGAACTGGTGGCATCGCCGACAGCTTCACCTCTCTCTTGCGTTCCCACGCTTGGCTCTCTGGCCGAGGTCAGTCAGTCAGTCAATTGTCGTATAATTTCTTCCAACCCTCTGTTATTTCACGTTGCAATTTGTTTATGAATTTCTTGTCCAAAGTTCTATAATGATGTTAGTTTGTCAATATTATTAGATTATGTGTTCGTTGGATAAGAAGGAATAAATGAGGCTTTTCTATTCGAAATTTGTTCTGTTTGCTTTAGACGGGAAATTTTGATGGTGATGGTGATGGTGGTGGTGGGGAATCAAAATAATCAATTGATTTTATGAAAATATATTCTGATCCAGTTTGTGTATTGTTAGTTTTTCATTTTCCTCAGATTTTGGTGTTCATTTGAAGAGGGTAATAAATGGAAACATTGTGCATTTGGTTTTGGTGAAATGAGGACTTGCTCTTGAAAGTAGTTGCTGTTTCTCCTTAGTCAGGACGACTTTCCAGCAAAAATTGAATGGTGGACTATTTTTATTGAACTTTAATGTGAATCCATTTTTCCTTTATTTGGTAATGGCGGAAACTGTGAGTGAAAAATTTGATGTATACCAGTTTTGTTTGACCATTGTTGAAGTGTAATTAGTAGATTTGGATTCTAGACTAGAGAACTGAAGTAAGCTGTATGAGATTTAAAAAGATGTGTATATATTATATTGTGTCAGTTTGTAAACTATTAAGTCAATAACATGGTCAAAATATGTAATGAAGTTGGGATTGTTTAATTTCTTAATGGAGTGAAATTGGATTTTTTTTTTTTTAATTAAATATTGTTATTGAATGAACACAAAGTAATATTTTGCAGTAACAAGCACTTCCGTGACCATATGCAATGCTGTCAGTGATGCTGCAGCCGACTTCAAGAATGTGGAACATTGTGATTATAAGCTGTTGATATTGTCTTTATTATATTTAATGTGTTTAATAAACTAAAATGTTTTGGTAGAATTGAGAGTAATTGAATTTTTGTTGGTAAAAATATCAGGATGATTCATGTATAAGTCATTTCTCGTTCCATGGCATTGGTCTACAATCAGTATGATATGACTTCTATAGGTGTCATAGTTCTGACAACAGAAGAAGAAGGGGAATAATGTTATTGCATAAAAAGAAATTAAGTTCTTTGCAATCTTTCTGTCTGCTCTTCCTCTTGTTCAACTGAGGAAAGGCAAAAGAATAAACTACTGACCCAACATTTAAAAGTTATTTTAGCATAACAGGCTTCTCTAATACAGAGTTGAAGCTCAACTAAAAAGTCAGGATTTAAATTCCTGTAGTGGTTTAGGAAGGTTATGGTTGAATCAACATGTTATGGTGTGCTTCCAACCCTAGTTTGGTTGGATAGGGATTGGGCAGATAACTTGTAGTGTAGTTTGTGAGACTCTCAATTTGTAAACTTACTTATAAGTTAATGTTACATATTAGCTGACTGCATTTACCTCTTATGGGCTTCTATTTTTGTTTTTGTATATAGTTTGGTACAATCTCTATGTAATGAAAAGTTCTCAACATTGAAGTATATTGCTATTTTTTAATTTGGTAGTGTCCTGGCCGTAAAGACTCTCTCTTGCGCTTACCATTCATTGCTGCAGAGATCCTGCTGCCAGTGCAGGTTTTTTTACCTTTCCATCACTTGCCCCAGTTGCCTTTACAGAAGAGCCTTGGTGATAGTTGCAAAAAACAACAGTTAGTTTTTGCCTGAGTTTATTATCTGCATTAGTTTCTCCTTGTGACTCTCTTCTCTCTGCTCTCGTCTCTCTCTCTCACACACACACGCACAGAATACACACACAACACATATGAGCCTCACATTTTCTTATTAACCAATTATTGCTGACTATTTTTGATCCTCTGATTTGATTTTATTATTCTTTTGCAGCACTTGATGCAAGCAACAAAAGGGAATACTAATATTAAATTCCTGTCTCAGGTATATAATTGATTTCACCTTGCCATTTGATAAATCCTGATTAACTTTTTCAGCATGT